CTGCTAGCATGGAAGACACACACTGCTGGATTGAGTTTAGCTGGTTAAGGTGTCACTTTTTATATCACGGCTGAAGGAAACATCAACACCGGGCAGAGTGTAACATATTTAAATCTGACTTTGTGCTGTGTTAACATGTATTGCATCACTGCGCCTTGAGGTGTTGAAAATCACCTAAAAATGTGGGACGCACAACGAGGGAGCGGGAGAGAAGGAGTGTGTATAAAAACATAATGAGGATTAGTAAAAGCAAAGTGATGAATATGAAGGGAGGAAGAGAAAAAGAATTCAGTGGCTAGCGCTGTTAGCGGGCAAAATTAAACGTCTCATTTATTAACTTCGAACATGGCAGGAAGTCCAAATCAATTAAAGGGCTGAGGCTGAGCACTGCTCAGCCGTTTGCCAATTTCATTAGCTCTTCTGATGAAGAGAGAAAGAAAGACTACGAGAGCTCTGTGCATAGACTACATGTGAATAAAAGACTGAGAGAAGTGGGCCAACCTTGGCCTTCACCATAACAGGCAGTAAAATCAATTAAAGGGGCAAGCCGCATATTTATCACTGTATCAGCCTTAATTACACTTTATCTAGCTTTCAATACCTCCTCCAAGACAAAAAGGGGCACAAGTGTGTGTGGTACTTGAGAGTGTTCAAGTGTGTCTTTGCATGAATGAGTGTGTGAGTGTGTGTGTAGGTTTACAGAGGAGCGGTACAGTGGATGAGTGAGGATGAAGTGATAGTGTATTGATCTATGGAAGTCCATCAGGCCTAAGACTCAATATGCCCAGGAGCTGTGACGGCCTCTTCGTCTTACACACACACACACACACACACACAACACACACACACACACACACACACACACACACACACACACACACACACACACACACACACACACACACACACACACACACACACACACAAACACACAAAGACACAGATAAAGACACACACACCGGGGTAACAAACGCTCTTTGTTCTCCTCTGTGGATTGCCTCTGTCATACGTGGATTAATACTGTCTGCAGGTTGTTCAGACTACTGTACCTACAAACAAACAATTATCAATTACACAGAACATTGACTTGTTTTTCTAGAACAAATCTTCCAACAGTTGTGTAACATGTTATTGTGAATGAGCAGGAGTTAAGGTTCACAGGGCTTTACATGTGAAGGTTGATGCAATTCATTTTATTTATGTGCCTTTTATTAAATCTAATTATATATGCAGATTAAGAGTGATCTGTTAGATTCATGAAAACAGTGTAAACAGTGTCTGGATTTAAATAAGGCTGCTGAGGTCTGAAGCAGGGCTTCATGTGTCAGGTAGCTAAGGGATGTAGCTCTCTGTAAACAGTTGTAAGGATATTTTAAATCATCCATAATGAGCTTGTTCACTCTGGCTCGGCTGTGCTGTTTGAAGGGTATGAAGCCTGACGTTTTTTTGGACAGGAAATATGGGCTTTGTCATTGTGCTAACTCGGCGCCCGCTGATGCCTGGGTTCTGCTTAGTCACCGCTGTGTTGAACACGGCAGGGGTAAACAACAGGACTCCCTCTCTCCCCTCCTTTTCTCTACCTGAACTTCCCTCACATGCGCGCACACACACACACACACACACACACACACACACACACACACACACACACAGCAGTGTGACCTCACACAAAGGCAGCACACAAAGTTCTTCTTAATGGCAGCCTTTTTGGAAAAAAAAGGAGAGCACTTGAAAAGCACGACCCTTTCAAAGTATAGCCTGAGGCTTGGAGCCGGACCACAAGAGGAATATTCACTGGGTTTCTCTCTTTGTCTTCGGTGAGGGAATGGTACACAGCAGAGATGTAATGGAGACAGAAATTTGTTAATCTCTCTGTTATTTACTTACATTCTTTTTACATTTTTCATAATTTTTCCATTGTCTTTTGATTTGGTTAAAACATTTTGCTTCTAGTTTGAACTGTAGGAGTTCAGTCGCTGCAGAATTTGAACATTTAGTCAGATTTTTGTTGAAACACTTCACCTCTTTCTGTCTCCTTTCCATCAAAAAGCAATAAAATAAGGAAGGAAATAATGTTTTTGTTTTATGAAAATTGACTAACTAACTGGTCCCATAAATTATTTTCAACCACAAATTGCTTCATTGTAAAAAAAAAAATCTATAAAAAATTACTCTTAACCACAGCTTTACCATGCGCGGAGTAAAAAGTACAGTATCTTCCTCTGAAATGTATTACAGTAGAAGTATAAACTAACATAGAAAAGAAATACTCAAGTAAACAGCAAACAGCTTTACACCCCACACAGGGGGGCACAGTGGAGCAGTGATTAACACCGCCACCAGTCACAGTATTGCTGTGTGAGTGACTGCTCCGGTTTCCTCCCACACAAACATGGAAAATTAGAAATAAAAAGGTTTAAAATAAAATGTCATTTGACTTGTTGACTCATTATCTTTGCTTTGAGAAACAGAGTATGACATCATGTTGCTAAAAGCTCTCAAATATCATCACTGGGAACTGTACTTTGTCATGATTTGCCAGTGTGTTTTTTTATTAGTGGTACCATTCTGAATAATGAATGATCACATGTAGGGCTTTACAAATTACAGATCATGCAGCTGCTTCTTTTGTAGTCCATTTGTTTCTCTTTGTAGTCTGAGTAATTTTAGATTCAAGCGTGAAAGTTTTTTCTGTTATTAATTTATATTCATATGATCACATCTCTTGTCTTACTCATTATAAATACTTTGTACAAAGGGCAAACGTTGAAGCAGTGTTAATTGTGAATCTGGAAGGGATGTAGCAAAAGCTGCGTGGCACATACTTATAAAAGCAGACACATGTACATACAACTGTAATAAGGTAGTGTCAGAAAAATAATAATCTATATTTGAACATTAAGGTAATTGTTATTATTTGTCACATACACGTGTTTTTGCCTTCACTTCCAGATGATGTGAAGTGTTATCTAAAAAAGTAAAAGCGAAACAGCAAGGAAAACAAAACTTTAGTTTAACAGTTGATATGACATTGTGCCAAATTACAGCTACTCATGCACAATTATAGAAGCTCCTTATACACACTGTTGTCTGTTATTCCTTCCTCATTTCCTTCAGTAAAAGCTTTGACATTGGTGGCTCTCTTTCCCCTGGAGGAGGCTGTGTAGAGATGGCTGTGAATGAACACTGGTTGTGGGAGGTAGATGCCAACTTTCTTGTACTTAGGAATAATTACCTGGAGATTTTGTATAGCGCGTAAATCGCTTGCGTTTGGCGCCTTCGCATCTTGCCAACCGTGCTGTTACTGTTGTTTGCCTCATCACAGTATTACCGTATATCGCATAGTATGTGTGCACGGGAAAGAAGAACAGAGCGACCGAACCAGACAGACTTGGTGTCGTTTGAAAGGCCTCATTAAGAAGTAGGTGACTTCAAAAGCTGCTTCCTATACACACAAACACACACACAAAAAACTCTGCATATATACTGTGAAACAACTTTTTCCTGCCTCTGTGACACTGTGCTCACCGGTTCAGGAGATGCGTTGCTGTGGTGATCAGGTGGGGGCGTGGCTGTCTTCTCATGAGGCGGGGCTAAAGCAGAGTCACTGCTGCTCCTCACCAACAGAGGCGTATCTGCGACAAGAAAGAGGAGAGTTAGAGACGGAGAGACGGAGAGGATGCTGGATGCCAGTCAGCTGCACCCGCAATTGTCTTGTACTTTCCACACAGTTGAAAAGAAATCCCATTAGATTTGATTTCTCGAGCTCCAAGCCGCTGAGGATGATCGGGGGGGATGAAGAGGAGAGAGAAGAAGGGAGGAGGTGAGAGGAGGGAACAGACGTTTTTTTTTCATCATTTGGCAACTTTCACACTAAGCAGCTGGCCATCTTGCTGAAATGAGCATCAGGGAAGACCCCTGAAGCTTTCTCTGAAAGCAACTGACACCAAAGCAAATTGTAGCAGAAATTGTAGGATCTTTGTTGCCACCTGAAGATAAACATTCATAAACAATACAAAAGGGAAAAAGATGGAATAAGTGACCCCTGGTTGGGCATATTATAGAAACACGAGTACAAGAAAATGGAGAATGAAAAACAAAGAGTGAGATGAAATGTTTAAAATGAAGATCACTCCACTGTCACTGCATGATGACACACTCTAACCCATTTTCAAGAGCTCAAATTTATTTCAGAATGACTCACAGACCCAGAGAGAGGACCACCAACCACCCCCCCCCCTTTCCAGCGATACGCCCAAAGCCCACACCCACACCCACCCACTGTGTACATTTTCGTATGACCAGCTGTTGCCTCCATATTCACACACACTTACCCACAGCCCAAGAGGTAACATGGGCAGGTCTAAATCCACAATAAAACAATTCAAACGAGTCTAATTTGGACCTTTGCGCTGCCTCTTGCTTTTAGTATCCACCCCAGAGGGAGCAGGCTGGTATTTGTGGAAGCAAAACCCAGAGCAGGCAAATTTTTACTCGACAGAGGAGAAAATAAAGACAGGGGTGTTGAGATAAACAAAAAGAGAAACAGAGAGCTGAGAGATAGTGACAGAGAGAGAGGGAGGGAGTGAGGGAGAGAACCTTGAAAACTGAGACACACAGCAAGAGAAGGCAAACAAAATTCTCTTTCCTGTAATCAATCTCTCTTTGGAGGGTCAGTGACAGGGTCCTGGTCTAACGTGGTCAGAATAGAGAGAGCAGAGGAGGAGAACAAGTAGGGAAGAAGGAACTGGCAGGGGTCACTGTGTGTGTGTGTCTGTGTGTTTGTGGTTTGTGTTTGTGGTTTGTGATTGCGGACATGAAAAATGGTCATTCCAACCATCTCAGACACACAGACAAATATCTTTTCTGCCTCAAACACAGCTAAAGCACGTGTTCGGTCATCTGATGATGTGTTCAAAGTTTGTCTAATCATTTTTATCAATTATCCGAGTCTCATCCTCCATCTGTCTGCGCTTCACACTCTCGCTCCACCTCGATAAGAGACACAATGCTGACTCACTGTCACCTATATGAGGGTGTTTTCGTGAAGGAAATCAACACAATATGATCTAATTTATTCTACTGAGAAAAGCAGATTTCATGTTGAAATGTTAGGCGGAAAAACAGAATGATTTGCAGTAATGAAATGTGCTTTGATTTAACACAGAAACATCTTTAAAAAAAAAAAAAAAAAAAGCAGGCATATTCTCAGAGCAGGCACGCCAGGCATCAGAAAATTACACCAGACAGCTCCAACTTATCAACGCCGTCTGCTTTCTCTGTCTGTTAATCTTGTGTGCATCTAAAATAGGTCAAACACTTCCTGCAAAAAATAAAACTTTTCAAACATGTTAAATGAGTCTTTTGTTAAGGTGTGTTGGGAGCAAACACAAAGTGAATTTTAGATGCATTCACTGCACACTATTTCTACTTCTTTACATTTTCCAGGGCCCACACATGGTACAACTTTTACAAGTGTAGGAGGGCCATGGATAGAAAAGCAGTTAAACTTAATGGATGGTTCTCAGCTCTCGTTCCTCTCCCCACCTGTCTGCTGCATTCATTGAAAGTGAATGCAAATAGAAACGGATGCGCACGCCGGACAGAAAGCATGCATCAGGTTTTAAAAAGGTGAACGCGAGCACAGTGCACTCCAGGTTAAGGTAATATTTCCCCCATCATATGGAAAAAAAAAAAAGAAGACAAATAATTGATTTTCAAAATGAGCTGACATCACCTTGAATTCTGACATCACACACACACACACACTTGTACTTCACCACAATGTCAATGACGCAACTTCCAAAAATGACCAAGGCCGCTCCATGGTCACAGTCAGGGTCCATTACCCAGCGGTCAGCCCCATAAATCCTCCTCCACTTATCCATAGGAGTCAAATCGACCTCCATCAATCCTCCCACCACTTAAACCCCCGAGCGCGGCAATGTGAAGGAACCTGAGCTTTCACCTCTGACCTGAGGTGACCTCCGCAGGGTCAAACTGAGGGTCAGGGGTATTGATGAGAGTGACAGTTGGAAGTCTCTCAGGTCAGCCACTGTTTGGACACTCATAAACAAGATTGCCTCAGAGGAGTTACTAATCAAAGGTGACCGGGCTTAAGTATTGAACTAGCACATTTTGAGAACATAGCTTGCTTGTTGCTCGTGGTGAACAATCCGGGGGTGGGGGATTATTAAACAGATGGACTCTCTTCCATATCAATACGAGTTCAGGTTCTTTCTTAATTAGCTAATGCGGCTGGTAAACACCACAGCCTGCTGCAGGTTTCATTTGATCATAGCAGGGGTTAGACGGCCAGATGTGTTCTTCTGGTAGAATTAAACTTGTATAAGGATCGGTGATAGCACAGGCCACCCTGTGTTCAAATAAATCCTATCCGATTCTATTCAGTTCAATTAGTAACTTAATTTATAACCTATACGTCTGCAGCAGAAGCAGTTTATTGTATTACTACCAAATTCAAATGCCATTTCAAAGTGCGCTAGTGTTCATAAATCTCCATGTTTACTGAAACTAATGCGATGAAATGAAACGTAACATGGCACCAGAAATTTCCCTGGATGAGATTATCTCGGGTGAAACAAGCTACCTAAGGTCAGAGTCATTATTTATGAAAACATAGTCATTAGAGAAACCTCTATTGCAGATAGAATGTTTTTTTTAAGATGCTTCAAAATGAAATATTTCACATGTACAGCGAAGAAATCGATCACTTTAAATCTAAAATTGCTATTTGACCAAATAGTTTCTGATCTAAAACAGGTGCTCGCATTTGATCGGATGATTAAAATGAAATCAAAACCCTCTGTAGAAGTTACGGAGAGAGACTTGCTCTTGTCTCAAAGCGGCAGCGTGGCATCTGTAGCCCTCAGGAGCTGAGCATCACTCATGCCCTCTGTGCAATTTGAGCAGAGTTTTCATTTATTTTAAGATCACAGACATTTTTCTGACTTTAACATGCGGTCTCCTGCCAAGAGGGAGGAGGAGAGGTGGAAGCACTAAAACTCTGGGTGTATTTTAGGTTAGCTAATTTAACAGAACTGTGCACCCATAACCACAAGGTACCCTGCAACTTTAAATAGACCCCACCCACTAAACTCATCTCAGTGACCACTTCAATGCCAGAAAAAAACAAATGGTAACACATTGAAACACACCCAAGTTATGTTCTCCACTTATCTTTCCCTTGAGATTTGTGTAATTGGAGAGACCTGAAGAGGCCTTGTGAACTCTGCCAGTTCTGTGTTTATCTGTCTCCGACTCTCCATCTGTGGCTCTCTGCCTAACTAGGCTGCTTATGCAATTCTGGGAACACAGTGGTTTATTTTAAGAATTTCCTCTTGTTTTCAGTTCTGTGAAACTTCTGTAATACTGCAGAGCTAGTTCACTGCCAGGGCAGGATGAAAACAAGGATGCATCATGTTTCTGGCTGAATGTGTGCGACTGTGTGTGTGTGTGTGTGTGTGTGTGTGTGTGTGTGTGTGTGTGTGTCTTTGTTTGTCTTTGAGTTTGCATGTGCAAGCATGCGTGTATAGTTTGTGTGCTATATGTATATTTATTACCAACAGAGACTGTGCTTTGCATCTCTGTGTGTATTTATATTTGTGTGTGCGTCTGTGTGTGTGTGTGTGTGTGTGTGTGTGTGTGTGTGTGTGTGTGTGTGTGTGTGTGTGTGTGTGTGTGTGTGTGTGTTTTCATGCCATGGACCAGGGTGGTCTTGTTTCTCTGGCAATCGATACAGCGGCTCAGGCTCAGGCTGCTCATGGGATGATGCGATAAGGACTCTCTTCCTAGAAGTGTGTGTGTGTGTGTATGTGTGTATGTGTGTATGTGTGTATGTGTGTGTGTCAGTGTAGCAGCAGATCAATGCAGGTCTAATCATCCCACTGGGGCAGTGTGAAGTCCAATCACCCTGTTCAAACAAGCGGCCCAATCTGACACACAAACACTTTGATGCCTGACTGATTACTGAATTACTTCTTGTCCTGACCGCCACCACTCAGTGCGACTGCATGCACACTTTAACCAGATCACTGTGAATAATCAGATTAAGGTAATAGTGAGATTAAAGCATTCACATGGTTTGCAGTAACCTAATTTTCCCAGAAGCCCATTTTATATGATTTGATGATAAATGGGTTAATATCTGAATGGATGCATTGTCTCCAATGTGATACTTATTATTGTCCTACAGCTGCCAGCATCCGGTGAGCTGTCACTTCCACTGGCATATCTGCACAACAAAGTAGTAGTAATACAGTTAAACAGTTGTTTACTCAGGTTTTGACTATGATAACCAAGTTAAACTGTTCACATAGAGCGGGTCCAAAAGTCTGAGATCACTTTCCCATGTGACAGCTACACCAAAATATTCTGCCAGCCTGCATTTCCTTCATGTAATCTTGTTTATCCCTGTGGGCAGTAGGCTGTTTTCACTCCCTTCCACTAATGGCACTGTCACTACACGTCTCAGTTTTGTCACATGCTGTCATTTGCAGTTAGGCTACAAGTTAGGCTAGTTCAAAATCATTTGGCATGTCAGTGTTACTATACATGTTTTGGAGAAACAAAGGGTTTTATGCAAATTGAAATAGTGAAATTGACAGAGGACTTTTAGCAGGGGTTTGTACATGAACGGTTGAAGGAGAGTGGCAGTGTTCCAGGGATATAATGAGTTTTACTAATGTCAAAAAAGTACTGATAGTGTAAAACAAAAGAGCACATTTTCATGTATTTTGTCATTCCTAGGGTTCCCATCATGCTTTAGGTAATTGGTATATTTCTTTACGTTGGTAAATCTGCACCATGGAAAGTCATCCTGAATGAATAATTCCCATATGCAGAGACAACAATCACATGCACTACTTCTGATACTGAAGAACAAGTCTTCATTAGCTATTCATCAGGCAAGATCTGAAGCACTTTATTTATACAATTTCAAAGGGAATTAATAACATTTGTTTGCATTCTGTGTATGAAGTCTGTGCCTTACGGTTTGACTGAGAAGAAGAATTAGCATGCATGAAAGCTAATCAGTAAAACATAATGGTAAGGTGTACACATATATATATATACTATATATATACAGACATATATATATATGTTTGAATGTCTACATCACTTTGTCCCAGTCTCCAGTAAATTATGTTATTACAACATACTAGGTGTGATGTAACATCCAGTTAACAATCAATCTTGTTACAGCAAAGGGGAGAGTGAACACACACAGACACACACTCCCCTAAGACCTTCCCAGCAGTGGATGGGTGACTGCTTTGGGAGTGTTGGGTTGTTTAACTTGCATGCTGCTGTTCTTTTGTCATATTGTGTGTGTGTGTGTGTGTGTGTGTGTGTGTGTGTGTGTGTGTGTGTGTGTGTGTGTGTGTGTGTGTGTGCATGTGTGTGTACGTGCATGCATGTCTGGATGACAAAAGCGGCCTTATTGCATCAGTCTGGCTCTATATGAAGGGCGTCACAGGGTCACATCATAACTAAGTTAGTCAGGGTTCAACAGGGCTGGAGAGCATGTTGGGAGTTGGGGGTAAGAAGAGGTCCCACTGGGTTAAAAACAGGGTGGAACGGGTGTGTGCGTGTGTGTGTCTGTGTGTGTGTGTCTGTGGGGTGGGGGGTGGGAGATTGAAATTAGTCCATTCATGCTCAGCTGGACCCTCGGCATGCTAACAGGCTACAGTGCTAATCTAGTTAGAGGTGGAAGCCATGCAGAGACTGAGAGCAGGGCAGGATGGGAGGGTGGGGGATACAGGAGGTATCTGGTGGGGGTGGGAGGGGTTGATGGGTCATGGTCTCGGGGGCCGGGTGGTGAGCCTGTGGATGGCAGGTGGTTGAAGCTGAATAGTAGAGTAGGCAAGAGATGGCTGGCTGGAGTGGAGAGGGGGCAGATGATGGGGAACAGGGCAAAAGTGGGCAGCAGGAGAGCGATGGCAAAGGGCAGGTGTGTGCGCGTATGTGTGCATGTGTGCGTGTGTGTGTGTGTGTGTGTGTGTGTGTGTGTGTGTGTGTGTGTGTGTGTGTGTGTGTGTGTGTGTGTGTGTGTGTGTGTGTGTGTATGGGGGTGTCACACTGTTTCTTTACAGCCAACAGATGGAGAGAGGAAAATGAAAGGGGTAACAGGGTGGCCCAGTGATTAGACAGCCCCATGTTGGATTTATCTTTCACTTGGTCTCTTGTCATCCAGAAACTAATCAATGCAAGACTCTGGAACAGAAAAGGATGACATGTACCGATACAAATCATGCTCAAGATTATTTACAGTTAAATGTATCTACAGCAGGAACAGACTGTAGCCCAGACAGAGCAGAGATTTCCCCAGAGGCTCCTTTAAGCTTCTGACTGACTAGTCTTGTGATCATGCTTCCCTCTGGAGATGCACCATGACCTACTAACTTGTTCACTCCATTTCCTGATTGCAAAAAAAAAAAAAGTAAAAATACCATTCCTGGCTCACTTAAAAGTTGCATTTTTATATCATCATCTGCACGCACACTGTTTGTCTAACTGTCACCCTCGCTTACGTTCCAGTATCTGCTCTGTTGAATTGACATTGATTGAGTTACTGAACCACTAACAACCCTAACCTCTGACTTCACAAGCAAACACAGGATTTCCTGTGGAGGTTTAGTAACAAAGAAGATAAATGCATCATTTCTCTATAAAACTGAAGGAAAATTAATATATGTACATTTGTAATATACAATATTTGTATCTGTTAAATATATTCAGTCGTTGTGGAATGACTCATTTCACAAACAAAAACTGCTTGACATTAGAATTTTCTGCTTTTCTGCTGTTGCGCTGACATCACTCTGGATATGAGCTACAGCTAAACACCAAAAATATAAATGCAAAAGCAAGGCAAACATAGAACAGGAGGAGGCGGGCTTAAAGGAAAAAAAAAAAAAAAAAAGGAGAGAGAGTATAAGAATGAGAAAATGGCAAGAAATACGAGACTGTGGAGACAAGAGTGTTGGTGGATAAGAAGGAAAACAGAGAAGAGGGTGAAAAGCAGGATGAAAGCTTAGCATCTTAAAAAATCTGCTTTTCAGAGATGTTTCTGGCAGCGTCTTTCTCCAACTGGTGACCACACATTTTTGAAATGAGTAGTGTTCGACATGTTTCCACTCTCCAAAAATCACTCCCCCTTGTTGAATCACTACTATTCATTTTTAATAACTTCATTTGTCATCACTCTCTTCCCTCTCCTGTCTGTCTGCCTGAGGTCTCACTGCACTGTCATGGCTAAGCCGTCTCAGTCGGAGATGACAGTGATTGGCTGTACAGCACTGCGTCATATAAATCCATCACCTTAATGGTGCACAGAGGGAAGCTTTTGTCAGCACGAAGAATCAAGGAGCAGCGTGGATCTTATTAATATCAGATTCATCATGTTGTTCACTGAAATGCTTTAACTGCCCAGTCAAGCATCCCTACCAAAGTGTGATGGATACATATATATATATATATATATATATATGTATACACACAAAAGTACCCTGAAGCGCTGCCTTGTGTGGCTCTCAGTCTGAGCAACGTGTGAAAACAAGAACAAACTAACAAGAACAAACTCAGAACATTGAGGACGACAGGAGAGAACGCTGCGTCAACACTGCATCTGTTTTCACACGCCGTGGAGTTACAAGCAGAAATCTCTTTTTACACAGTAGGTTCCGCTTACAGCTGTTCCATAACATGTATTTTCTGATCCTCTCCCTCACGTACAGTCACACACCTACCTCTACGCACACACACACATACACACACACACACACCTCCTGCTGTTTCACCAACATTGACTTTCTCGCACGCTTAAAGAATGTGAAAGTGTTGATTGAGCATTGCTTAGGTGTTGGAGAATCTCGCAGAAACTTCTGTCACATTTAACTTCAACCTGTTGGAGAATCTTTTGTGTTACCCACAACTGGGACAGAAATTCTAGTAATTCTGCTGTCATTGAGCTATAAATGTTATTGCCATGAGATGAGCCTGAAAAACAAATGCACAGGAAAACAAAGCAGATCTGACGTACTGGCTTTGAGGATTGCCTCGTTGACTTCAATCTCTCCTCTGGTTGGCTCCTGGAACTGCATGTGGGGGTAGTAGCGGAGTGGTTCAGGGCTGGGGGCGGCACTGGAGTAGCTGGACTTGTTCTCTCTGGGACTGTCCGTCCTCCTGTGCTGGACTTCGCTGAACACGGCGACCAGCTGGAAGAGACACGCACAGAGTCAAACCTGCGTCCTAAATGTTCTGAAATATCAAACACGGCATGCACGTGACCTGAAATGAACAAAATTTCCTCAAGATAAGCGTGACAGTCTAAACAATGTGATTACTGGCATAGGAACAAGCTGGAAGCACGCCGCCAGGTTATATAGCGTCTCCACTGTGCCATGATCACAGTGAAGCTTTTATGTGATTTATCTTGCCAACAGTGGGGATGCAACCTGCTTCATTCTGCCAAGTGTGCAGATGTGTGTGTGTGTGTGTGTGTGTGTGTGTGTGTGTGAGTGAGTGTGTGAGGAGAGCGAACAGAGCTGGATTCACAGCTCATTCACAGCTCATCTCCCTCTTACAGTGCATAACACACCAGCAGATGCCACTTCGGTGACACAATAGCTTATTTCTTTCTGAACAAAGTAGAAAAATCTGACCGACGATTGAGCAGGGGGCCGGTTCAGAGGCGCTAACACACACGGCAAGGCCGGGCGAGGTGTGTATGTATGAAATTAGCAGTCAAATGAGATCTGACACGAGAATGAGAAGCTGTCAAACACAATGACACGGCTGCCACAATGAGACGGCGGGAAGAGACGGGGGCGGCCAAATGAACAGGGGATGGAGGGCAGCAGAACGACAAACAATCCTAATTGAGACAGGGACATTATGGCAGATAGAGCGCGCGTGTGTGTGTGTGTGTTGACTGCAGGACTGTGCCATCGCAGCTACGTGGTTTGATAAATGGGCGCGTGGCGGCGTGACGCTCTCATTAGATGGTGCAGGCGAAGGAAATGACCACTTAATGAAAAGCAATAACCGCAATGGAACGAGGGATGGAAATAAAACAACAGACGAGTGGAGGACGTCAATTAACAACAAAGGAGTGCAGAAACTAAGTGTGTGTGTGTGTGTGTGTGTTTATGTGTGTGTAAACAATAAGCACGGAGGAGGTGGCAAGATATGCATCATCCATCACGCTGTGATGCCGCCTCTCACCTCAACCTCCCGTGATTCAATATCCTCATGACACCTGGCCAATGCCATGCAAAGGAGACACATCTAATGTATGTGTGTATGCGTGTGTGTGTGTGTGTGTGTGTGAGGCTTAGAGAGAGTGAGTGAAAGAAAAGATGAGGAATCAAGGAGCTGGCAAATGTGAGAGAGAGAGAGAGAAGAGGGAGAAAAGAGAGCGAAAGCCAGGAAAACAATCTGATTGCGCCGCTTGATGGATGCTTCTTGAGCTCTTTCTCTCTTCTTTATCTGCTTTCCTCTTTCTCTTCTTATCTCCCTCCCTCCCCGTGCCTTCGTCTCTTTCTCCAAACTCGCTGACAGCATCAATCAAAGAAGTAGTCTCGGAGCGTAATGTGATGTGTGCGCACACACGCCAACGTGCGAGCGCGTACGAAGACACCGCGTCGAGCTACCCTCAGAAACGATTTATTCGTTTTGAACAACAACAACTTCTTTTAATGTGTGGAGAGTGGGGGTGTGGGAGGAGGGCGAGGGGGGGGTGATGATTTGCTTTTCCGGAGTTTATTTTTTATGGCTGACACAGGCGGGGAGCGATGCTGATGAGGGCCGCCCTGCTGCTTCCACTCATCACTCAATCAAACACAAAGTATCAACAAAATGAATCATGTATTACTTCATTTAGAACAAGTCGGAGCGTGAAAAAAAAGACTTTCTGAAGCACTGTATCTAACCATGAGGACTTTTTATTAATCATACACTGTGTAACCCATCATCACCATCATCTTAACCCTGTCTGATCAAAGTTGAATCTGATCAAGGACCTTTTGATTTAATCCAAAATCTAACACGTCTAAGATTGGACAAATAAAAACACAATATTCACTGAACAAAATTGATTCTTTAATGGAAAAATTAAACTAAGTGTTAAATGGACCCAGGCTCATCCAGGGGTGCCAGCTGATAGCAGACGGGTGCTGATTAGGGTCAAACTGAGGTGAGAAATAGTGTGTCAGCATGTTAAAAAGCTGGTGTCAAATCTTCGCTGATTCCATTTCCTTAGTGTGTTTCTTGTTTGTTTCTAATGTGCCTGACCTAACTTTTTCATATTGTGAGACTAATGGAACAGCTTTGTTCAGTGTAATACTAAAGATCTCATTATGTTCAAGCTATCAGTCTGCTGTCCCTTACACAAGAGACCAAAAATCTTTAATACTGTGAAATAGCGGGAGAGGAATCTTGGGAAAAGCTCACTTTTCAAAAGCGCAAAATGGTTTGAAATTCAGTCCTTCAAATGCAGCACCACCCCGCTCGTCTGGAGGACCCTGTGCCCCAGGATGAAAAACAACAGCACCTTGAGTGGTTCACAGTGTGTTTTCTTAACGCGCCGGTTTCTCTCCGTCCCTCCTGACTGTGATTAGTATTCTGGAAAACAAATCGCCTTATTTTCCCTGCCGTGTCCGTGGGGGGATATTGATATGGACCTGGGGACGCTGCATGTCAACTACCGCTGAATAATGTGACCCCTTTGTCTCATTACCATAACACACACAAACACATGCACGCTCGCGAAACCCACACTGACACTCGTGCCAAATACAAATAGCTGAACCCTTTATATTGTCATGTTATGATCGTCTGTAAATCATGATGCGGCGTGTGTATCCAACGTGACCTGACTAGCTGGAAGGACTGTGTATGTATATATGTCTGTGTGTGCGTGTGTGTTGCAGTGCCAAAGCGATTATCATGACATACATGAAAGCCATATAAAATAGCATGCGTGAAGCAGAGAGAGATAAACACTGCGTCTGTGAGTATTCTTGTCCATGCACACGGCCTAGAGCAACGAGTTATAAAGCGTCGCAATACATGTGGCCCACAGCTGACAAATGCGGACTTATTTTACTCCATTTCTTAGAGAGGCAAGAATACACCAGCCCACACATATCCTGTAGCCTATCACTTTAACACATTATTTTGCTTTATTTTGATAAAAAATTGTCTACTTCGCCCAGAGTAGATTTAAACGACTTTGCTCAAATTGAAGTACACTACATTTCCAAGAATGCATTTCAACAACCATTTGAGGACAGACGTAAACATGATGCAGTCAGTACGCACCAGCTGAGGAATAAAGACAAAAATAACAATGGACTTGTGATCCATACACAAGTATTCTTAGTCAGATTATGACTACATTACATTCTTCTCTGTAGAGGTGAATGTCAGGAAAGAATCCAGTCCCTCTCATTTTTCCCAAAATATTTGTTGAGCATCAAAATGGAGAGAGGGAACCAGAAATAGAATAATGTCCTCCGACAACAACAACAACAACTGACACTTATTATTGAGGTATCAGACAGCTGCTGGAGTTTAGCTCAACTGTTTTCATGGCTTGAAGCATACAAACACATTCATGCCATTAAAGATGGTGTCTCGGTAAACCGTTACCAGTGAGCCAGCATGTAAAAGTGCCCTGTAAAGTTTTTGAGTACTGGTCATCCTTGGACAAACACAGTTGTGATTAATAACATTAAAGAGGATTAATGGATAAAGCATTAAGATGAGCTAGTTTCAGGCTCCTGGTAAAGTGAATGCTAGCTCACTGTCACATTGTAGTTTGCATCCAAGTCTGTGCAGAGTAGAGAAGACTGAAGGAATTCAATGAGAGGTATTAAGTGTATATTCTCATAAATAGCGTATACATTCATCAGTTACGGCCATAAAAACCAACAACAAGCCAACAAATCCATCACAGTATCACTGTCACTATGTTGTATCCAAGCCTGACCTTTGACCTCCCTGTTTGAAGAGGGCAGGAGAGAGCAGGATTTCTTTACTCTCAATAACCTCAAGACATTATTATGATTATTGGTCTCACCCAGACTGTATGAGCCAGGATACAGAGTGTGAATGCATCATGGTTACTGTTTTTTAATTTTTAATGACCAGGATATGAAATTATCCCGGCTGCTGTAAACAGTATATGGTGTTTACATGTTGCAACTCACAGATTTTAATAATTGATGTACGTGCTAAGAATTAATTAGCCAAATGCAGCACGTCCTGCATGGAACACACAAGGGAGACAGACACACACATGCATGTAATCAGTGATGTTAGCACACTGTATAAAAGGATTGTCTAAAAATGCACACCACAAAGACACAACTGTGGACACAATCTCAGACACACACACACACACACACACACACACACACACACACACACACTTCTCACAGTTAGAGGAGGAACAGTGCCACCTTGCTTTAGTCAAACACTACTGCATGCTGGGACCACTCAAGCCTCTTTACATAAGCAACAGCCACACACACACACACACACACACACAAGCTCACAAACAAACATACACACTTCCCTATTTCATCCGCTGGTACTAATCAACCCATTTTTCTTCTTCTCTCTCATCCCTGTCTAGCACTGCTGTGTGTGCGTGCGTGCATGTGTGTGTGTGTGTGTAGTACGGGTCTATTGAGATGCTTTGCTTTTGTGCTGTTGTCATTTATCTTACGACTGCCCCCCTTTTCTCCGTTCTCTCCCTCTCATGCTATTCTTCATTCTTTCTTTGAACGAGAGATGCATAATTCAGAAGGAGCGCGCAGCATCCTGACAGTAGTATGGTAACCCAATCATCTCTCACAAACACACACACACACACACACACTCATATATAGCGTACACACATACACAGAGAGAGAGAGAGAGAGAGCTTGTGACTCACACACAGACACACTTTCTTCACTAAAGTACAGGTTTACACAGACTATTTTAGACATCTGTTTTTTCAAGCACTAAAATGTGAATCACAGAGAATAAACCTCCTACTCGCAGTGTCTTGACTGAAAATGAAAGCCTGCAGTACCTGACAATTTGGCATGGTGTATAGATTTGCGATCGCTCCATAGCTGAAAGGATTCAAACTGCAGTTTACGGTCAACTGATGATACTGTGCACAAAAGCAAATACTTTCTCCATATGGCTCCTGACTGTGCAT